CGATTTATTGGCTCACGGAAGTGTGACTTCAGTTATGATCATTTCTCAAGGAAGAATAAAAGATATCAATGCAAACGTGTTCGATACGATGAATATCGTGATCGTTGTTTTGGTAGATACATTATCGTATCATATTCATAACAAGTATCGATCTATTCTGTCCTTTCCGTGTGATAACGTGACAGATCGGGATAATCCATTTAGCCGGTTCAAATCCAGTGTAAAAACTTGGTATACGTATTTGCGTAGGCGTGTGAGGGTATTGGCAAATGCACTGTCTGCCTGTATTTTAAGTCGGCGATTTTAACGGAACCGATAAACTACGTGGATGTTCCTTGCTATTGCAACGTCACGCGTTCACTTTCATCTCTTGTAAATTTTCGTGATGTGTCTCTTGACCGAACGCCAGCTAAGCGTCGAAGGCAGATGTGCCTCGGGGATTACTGCCATTAAAATTCTTGGGCAACTACCTGCTTTTTCTCGTGAAACGTTGGTCTGCCGAAAAAAGTTTTGGAGCCCTGGGAGTTTCATGAATAATTCAGGTACTTGGAATTTCGTGCCCTGACCGTCGTGGTACTTTTTCGTGAATCAGTGTCGTCTGTGACCAGAAACAAATTAAAGCGCATCGAAGAGGCGCAGAATGATTGATGCACGTTCTTATACTCTTCTGACACGCTCACGCTTTTTATTGAATTCCCAAGTGCTCCGAATAATCAAGGAATTACATTAGTTAACTGATATTTCTAAAACAATTTTGAAGCGAATTAGTATAAAAAAAATATCCAAGGAAGCTGATTGAATATTTAAGAAAATGTCTATGTATTGTCTAATACATAAAATGTCTAAATGTCTAAATGTATTTTTATTTGGCTACTTATATTTATTTTCTTTGAAAGCACTATATTTAGCTTTAGTATTCATCATATACTGAAATATAATATCTAAAAAAAGAGAAAAGAAAAATGAAAAAGAACTGACATCTAATTAGTACGTATTTTTGTATTGTAATGTATTAATAAAGTGTTAATAATGGAAAGTAATACGATACTTCTATTGTCGCTAATACTTACACTTGATAAAGTTACTAGTAGGAGGAAACGAGGCACGAGAAGGTGAAAGAAAAGAGTAGGTGAAGGGTGTACGTTTGGCTTTGGACCTGCTAATGGAGTTGCTAAGTAACAATAACTCAAAGACCCATGTCTTGAGTAACCTGCGGAAAAGAAATATAGGTAAGCAGGAACTGTGGATTGACGGAGAATTCTTTGACTAGTGTAAATATTACCATAGGTTAATCCCAGCAATGCTCCCCTTCAAATTGTTTCAAGTAGAATAGTTTCGAATCATCTTGTAACTAGAAATAGGAATTAGTTAAATTTTGTAAATTTCAATAACCTATGAATACGTTTGCCCTGGTCGTGTACTTTCACTTTGTCTAAGAACCGTTAACTTCTATCGCTTCGTCGTTTACAACCAACTGACACTGACGCTGAAATTTTACGAGCCAAATTAAAAGGACCGCCTAATAACGAAAAAAGATGGGCAGTTAGAAGGTAAAAAGTTTGATGAAACCCTTGGACTAATTTTCAAACATTCTTAACGATGCGCCGGGGATATTACTACCTTCTACGTCACCTACATTTTTTCGTCACATGAAAGTGCGTATTTTTGATCTTGAAAACAAGCCAAAATGTAGGCGTGTATCGAATCTGAAACAATCCTGAAAATAATTTTTACGAAACTCGTCCTACTTTAATGAAAAATTTAACTACAATACTAACCTATCAGTTCGTATGGAGATATAAATAAAATATATCCATATTAGTCGCTATATCATCAAATTTATATGTCTTATGTAATTATTACGATCTATATTACGCATACTTCGCGCGTATAATAAATGTATGCTTATATGTCATCCATCTCATTTTTTCACGCATGCGCGTTACGCTGTCTACGGTGCTGGCGCGCACGTGACGAACCATCATCGGGGAGTATGTAATTATTATCCACTGCTGCTAATTTTAGTTAGAAGTGAATGTACTTTAAACAGCAAAACGCGATAAATTTAACAATATCGTGTGTATTTATAACGATGAATTATAAATATGCTCGCTATTAAAATATTAATGTGTGGCTAATAGTGGCGCTCCTACGTATAAGAGCTATCAATGATAGAAAGTTAAAAGTGCATCTCTGTTTATATTTATCCCTAACCTATCTATCAAGCTTTCAAAGCATGTATTCATATAAATATTTCAATATAATATAAGAAACTTCAAACGCCAGTAATTTATATTATATCATTGCAGATTCAAACATAATGTTTCAACGATAAGATAAATATAAATTAATGCAATATACGGACAGAGAATTTATACGGGAATAATGAAGATTGACATTATCTATGTGGAAATGGTTCAAAGTTAAGCTTAAAGCAATAAACGATGAAACTAAAGGTTGAATAAAACGACTATGATTCATGTTTGTCTAAAATACATTTGCAAAAAATCGTACACATTTTCCATCTGATTTACAATTGATAATTAAATTTAACGCAAGGTAAAATATTCAATAAACTTATAAATGCGTTATTAATGTTTTATATAATGCAGAATTTCATAATGAAAGATTGCAGGATTATTTGGAATAGTTAAACTGAAAATTGCGTCTAGTGACATCTATGTAAAGCTTTGCAACAATTTGAAATGTTGCATTTGAAAGTTAAACAGAAGGAAGACAATTAAATATATCTTTCATAGAGAATTATATGAATTATTTTAAAAAATATAACAAATTATTCTAAAATAATGTTAAATAATATAAAATTTCGCGCAGTATCAAAACATAAACTGAAATAACTTATTTTTATTTCTTTTTGTATCTACTGGTTAACGATTACGTAATACGAATTGAAACTTAATTGCAATAGTCAGTTTCACAACTACTACATCAGATTCTCACCTTGGTAAGTAACTTTTTTACATTCAGAAATTTAAATTAGGTTATCCACTAATTTTCTATGTAATTTCAAAATAATCATGATGTAATTTCTCAAACACTAAAACCATTTATAATGTCGCAATCATAATCCTTACATTTTATATGTCAATAAGCACTTCTTTATCAAATTGTAATATAAAGAATGAATAATTTTTTACTCTGAAGTTTATCCTCTGTAGGTAAAATGTAAACATAAGATAATCTGTTTTACACTCCGTTGCATTTGCTCTCGCTACAGATCAAGTATAAACCAGTATCACGACAACATCGGGGGCCATTTTTATTTGTGCACGTAGTCACGTAGCATGAATATAACGAGCTTTGAAGTTCCGTTTTGAAGAACTTCTTTTTTACTTTGCCATTATTGCAGTGATAACATCAATCAGGCCTTGAATTATTCAACAGAATTACATATATTATATATATATTTGCCTTTCTCTTACTTATTCTTTC